AATCAGGGAGCTTCTGCCCCGTTGGCCCAAGCCTGCAGTAGAACCCGACAGCGTGTTCTCTGTTCCAGTGCTTGTTTAATGACGCTCTCGGTAACGCAGATTGCATAGTCTCTAATGGCGAGATATTTTCTGAATAATGAATTAGACAGAATAAGGAAGGAAGGGGTACATGACCCAACTTGGGGTAAACCTGGCGCCTCCCCTCTGAATATTGGGGGGGAAATTGAAAGGGAAGAGAAAATGTACCGAGTATTGGTAATGCTTATTGAAGTTACCAAGCAAATATTGTTGTCTCCTCAGTACCTGCAGCCGTTAGTAGAAAAGGTATTCAGCGGCTTAAACGTAAATTTGTAAGTGAATTTTCTCTTTGCGGCCCCTGGAAAACCGTCTGTCCCGTAGAGAAAATCCGGGTTTGTCCAGTGTTAAAAATCTTTACTATAAAAANCGGTGGCCGGCTCATAAGCCTAACAACCTCACCGCCATCTGTGATCCGATTGTTTAGAAAATGTGGGAGCCTCGACGTCTCACAACCCTATGGGCTTTCACGGCCTGTTACAGGGATACATTTACTTTTTCCTTACGATATGCATGAATACAACATGTGGGAAAATACATACGGAAATCGCTGTGCTTTATAGTGTTAAGGCAATTTCGAATGTTTCCACGTTGCATCTGCAGGAGGTTAGATAAAGCGCAGAATCTAGTTAGAGCCACACGAGTCTTCCTACAGCTCCTTCTGTAGACTTGGCCGTAATTTAAAGAGAGATTATAACTTTCACTCCATAGTCAGGGTTATTCTGATTAGCTTAACACTTTATAAAGTTTTAACACCCACAAGCAGAGACGGTTTAGCCGTCCAAAGCTTTTCTATTATGGTTGAAAGGAGAATTCGCCGATAGAACGAAAGCCCATACCGCTTTTTTTTTTTAGAGGGGGCGGAGATTTGAGTTTAAATCCAGAAGGTTGATTGGTCCAGCAGCGCAGCAACGGAGAGCCCTTGTGACAGGTTGCTTGGTGACGTCGGATTCTGGAAAGCCCCAAGTACGAATCCCTCGAATTTTCAGATCCATGCACAGTTATCGTTGTGAAGCGGAAGACCGTTCGAGCGGGATTCACAAGGCGCAGAGCCACGCACTTGCGGCTTCAGAATTCAACTGGCTGACTAACTTAGTGACTGAATCCTACTAAGTGATTAACTGAGTAAATTAGTAGCTGAAGTAATTCAGTAACTCATATTGGTTGAATGACTGAATAATTGCTTGTATGATATTGATTGCCGGTCACGGTAGCCGAGCGGTCTAAGGCGTGCACTGTCTTCGCTCGCTCGGAAGCCGGGTTCGTGGGTTCGAATCCCACTCAGGGCATGGATGTTTGTGTGCGTTTTTCTGTGTTTGTGTACAGGTAGAGGCCTTGCGACGAGCTGATCACTCGCCCAAGGAGTCCTACCGTATGTCTAAGATTTAGAAAAACCGAAGTGAGCGGAGAAGTTCATGGAGGTAGGCCTAGGCCCACTGGGGCTGTAGTGCCAAGGAAAAAAAAAGTGGTATTAAGTGACTCAATGGGTTTGAATAACTGACTGAATAATTGATTGAATGACTGATTTGTTGAGTAATTAATTTACCAGCTGAATGTTATATTGAATAACTGACTGACTGATTATATAAATGAGTGATTGCCTACTGACTGATTAACTGACTGAGTAAACGATTGATTAATTGAACTGGTAAGTGATAACTAACTAATCGAGTAACTGGCTGACTGGCTGATATTTGATTGACTAACTGCTGATTAATTTACTGACCGACCCAGAAATAACTGATGAATGTATGTCTATGCAATAACCGCCTCTTTTACACTTAATAGTTGCTTGTCATTCTACCATTGGACACTATATACCATATGCAGTATATAGAGCGCTCTTACAGCCCAGAATTTTATCAAGTTTGGGCTTGTTTCCCCGTAACACTTGTGACTTACATTGGCAGGTTACCCAAATTAGAGATATGCCAGAACGTTAAATATCCTTATGGAAGATTTTCATTTTTCCCTTCCGTCTCTCCAGGTAAATTCCCGTACAAATCCTTAAATTACACTACAACTGGTTTTCTTCACGTTCTTTCCAACTTATCCTACACCAGGTGTCATACCAATCGATATTATAGTCAGGGACACTGATAGCTAAGGGATAAAAACACTAATAATAAATAAGATCCACATTTGTATTTAATTATTCTTGCGATAGAGCTCTGTGACGTGCTTACGTGAGGGAAAGCATCTTGTGAACCGCGCTCTAGCCACGGGCTGACAAGTAGAAAAGAGGAGGCGGGGTGTGGGGAAGTTTGATAGAAGAGCCGGTGGTATGGCACAGCTCATGGTATTATTATTTTTTTTCATATAAAAAGTCTCTAAATTACCAAGCTCTGCAAACCTTAATTACTCGACACTGTGCGAGGTCCCTAGGGACACGCCGTATCAGAGCTCGGCAGCCCTGCGTTCCAGTTGGAAGAATTTCAATTTAGCTGGGAGCGAGCTCATCGCCTCGACAGTGGCGCTTCCTAGGAGATAATCCGTATCGTTTCCGTCACATGCCCTGCCACAACGACTGTCATACTTGCTTGCTGCTGAGGCGACGCGTCGCGACGCGTCTCTCTGCTCTCAGAAGGTTCGTCGCAATCTCCAGTCAGTACCCTAACCCTTTCCCACAGGAAACACAGTAAATCATGCAGTAAAATGCAGTAATTGTTTAATTCTTTCGCTGTATCGCAAGTGGACCGAGTGTCCATAGTGTTTCACAGCACCCATTGTCGCTACACTAAACCCTTTAGTTAGTTTATTCTGAGTCTGTTGAAAATCTGTCTTGTGAATGAACTACGGACCTCTCTACACATGATTTTATTGTCTGCTTTACGTGTACTTGCAAAACCCTCTCCGTGTTACGGACACGCATAAAAACAGTGGCCTTTCTGTTCTGAATTTATTTTATGTTCTAAAGATTAAAATGTCTTGAATCTCTCGACAATTAATTTGTGTGATGGCACGAGCAATATACTAATTGTTTAATATGGTCATTTCTTTATTATGAAATTGAAGAGCAAATGAATGGATATATAAACTTATGTGAAATAATCTTAATTTCCTCATTTTTCTTCTTTGAAATTTAACAAATCACTCACATGTCTAAGTCGACATCATAAATCATCAGTTCCTTCTTATTTCTGGGTTTTTGGACCTGTCCCTCGTCCGGTATTCTAAAATAGAACCCTTCGGGAACTGAATCTGTTTACATCCTCACGTGAAGGGGTAGAAGACACCTAGTCTGTTGGGTCCATTAGAAATTCAACCTCAGTCACTGGCCCAGCGACTGAGGTTAGCACATTCTAACGTCCTCAATAGAGTAACCTTACCAGTGACTAAGGTCAGCACCTTCTGACAGTCCCAACAGAATATGTCTCTCTCACCCCCTCACCTGAGGACAGAAATAGCCCCAGTTTCCGAAACGTTGTTTTTTAGAATATCGGACAATGGACTAAGTGCGAAAACCGAGTAATCCTGGGTGTTATACAGCACTGACAGAACCTCCTGGAATCTGCATACCGGCATGCTTACGCCTGCTTTTGCTTTCGTCCGCACGCTTCATCTCCAACATTAATCGGTAAATTTATATTCAGATTCCTGTTTGTTATTTACACTGTAAATGTCTGGAAGAATTTAATTTCAGTTAGTTAGTTATTAGTTAGTTATTTAGAGATGGTTTCCCCATGCACCGCCACCAGTTTGATCTATTGTTCTTCCCTCTATGATATTCTACCAGTCTCTATACTCTACCGATACTGGTGCTTACCATCAGTCCCGACCAAGCCAGCGAGTTCGGCCTCTACTGGCTTGGCGGCATTTATAATGCTTCCCCCATCTATCAGAGGCGTTAGAGACTACTGTTGGGAGGGAAATGTCCTTGAATTTGGCTCAGTGACCTCCTTAGGAGATATGAGGTTCTTTTACGTGCCGTAAAGCTACGACACGGGACCCACGGCTTAAAGTCCCTCCCGGAGGACTTGTTCCCTGAATTTTTCCGCCCTTAAAAATTCCACGACCTCCGCCGGGTTTGAACCCGTGTACTACGAGTCGTGAGGTGGGAACGTTACCTCTAGACTACGGAGGCCGCTTAATTTCAGTTAAATATAGCTTTATTATAATCCCTATTTAACTTTAAAATTAGAAAGGAAGCATACCCTTTCGTATGGCTGTTATTTGATAGAACACAATGGATATACACCTCCCGTAACTTACAAATTTTAGTATGTATTCCTGCCATAGGAGTGCAACATAGGTAGAAGAAACATGTAAGAAATTCCGACCTGAAAATATTCCCTGGCTGAGAATTTAACTTACTCTTGATGTACGTTTAATATACCTTTAATGAAAATCTCGGGGAAGAATGCATCCATCTCATATTGATTAAGTTTGTCAGCGGAAGGCAGACATTGCTGTTGTTTACAAGTTATATCGTTCATTTGCAGCATCAGAGTTCAGAACAAGTTACATAAGATGAAATAAACAAAGGAAGGGATCCGAGATAAGTGAATAACAACATTACAAAGGAATGAAAATTCGGAACTAACATTACCTGTAATACTCGTATAAATACCATATTAAATGTCAAACCAGGATTTGCCTTAAAGAGGACCAACACAATGAATCAAGAATGTCCTTCACAAGATTAATGTTAACTTATATGTTATTGTGGCTAAAAATTTCATCAGATTGTCACGACAACATAAATAAATCGCTAAGAGTGTACTGTACATCAGGTTTTTAATTAAAAGATTCAGTTTTTAAGTGCACTATTAAAACCATCGTCCGAAAAATTAACTACGGCTGGCAGGGCTATGGTAAATGTTTTGACTACGTGCCGCTAGATGGAAAAATCAGCAGACCTGTTCGTGCTGCCATCTGAGCAGTGGATGAGTATTTACGGCATATACTGTGACAAGTATTTCAACAGAAATGTCTGGCAAGACTGGGGACTGAGAGTGTACATATAGAAGGCTAAATTGTAAACATGGCGAACAGAACAGTGAAAGACGCTAAATCAGTGCGTGGTACAAACCCACAGTATTTAGTCGAAAAAATAATAAGGTCTAGAATATACGACTGCAAGTACTGGAAAGAAGAATGTTTCGCATTGAGTGCAGAGTTATTAGTTGATAAGGCTATGGAATTGAGGTATCTTGGTGGTGTGTATGGAGGGAACATAAAACCGACACCATTTCTGTGTTTAGTACTCAAAATGTTGCAGATTCAGCCAGAAAAAGATATAATTGTGGAGTTCATCAAGAATGAAGAATTTAAGTATGTGCGCGCTTTGGGAGCGATGTATATGCGCCTTGTGGGTACATCGTTGGACTGTTATAAATATTTGGAACCACTGTTTAATGACAGTAGGAAACTTCGCAGGCAGAATCGACAAGGTCAGTTTGAGCTTGTTTACATGGACGAATTTATAGACGAGCTTTTACGCGAAGAAAGACTGTGCGATGTTATTTTGCCGCGCGTACAGAAGCGGCATGTTTTGGAAGAAAACAATGAGCTTGAACCCAAGATCTCGGCATTGGAAGATGATTTGGATGAGGCCATTGAATCATCAGGAGACGAGGAAGAAGTTGTTAAGCCCCCCGAAGTTCCAGTAAATGTGGAACCACATTGGCCTCGTGGTCGAGAAGATAAAGTTCGTCGACCTTCACCATTAAGACGTAGGAGTACGTCACGTGAAAGAAACAGGGACCGTGAAAGGAGGCGCAGCAGGGATCGAGAGCGTAATCGTCCAGATAGGGAGAAGAAGACTCGCAGAAGCAGGAGCAGAGAGAGGAGACACAGATCGAAGTCTCCAGGAGCTGGCAGAGTAGCTAACAGGGAAAGGGAACATCCTCGAACAAACCGTGGAGGTGAACAAGAGAGAGACATACGACGTAGAGACAGGGACCAGGACAGAGTTCGAGATCAGGACAGAGGACGTGAACAGGACAGGATGAGAGATCAGGACAGAATGAGAGAACAGGGCAGGGCCAGACCTAGACATCGCGACCTGTAATACAAGGCAAAGTTTAAAATATGTGTCTTGTAATGAACAGATACCTGCAAGAATTTTATGTACAAAGAGGACTGGACAGAATAATAATGTGAACTTGGACTTCAGCTTTCATCAGATCAAAAGCCGGGATATTTACTGGATTTGTGATTTTTGTGAAACATTTTGTATTACTTACTGAGGACCATGGTGATGGTTCAGTGATCATTAAGTGTATTTCTAGATAAAAGCTTTCTCATTAACTAGTACATTTTGGTAAATTTTATGCTGGTTGTAACATTAAATATCCCATTAGATGTCAATTTTGTTAGATACCTTTCAGACATCAGATTACTGAAAGTTGAAGTCCGTGATGATGACCATGGCAGTGAGATGATTGTAGTGTTTGCTGCGTTGTTGCACTAGTAACTTCTTGAGTATGTGTGCACAGATTAAATACCACAGATACATAGAACCAGATATCACCATTCATAAAACAGAGTGAAAGACTACTAGTGGCTAAAATCTATTTTTTGTAAGGATGGTGCTGTGTGGTGACCAAATTTTGGCTTCATTTACAGTTGTTAGATGTGATGCAAACCATTTTAGCATACAGCATGTGTCTTCCCCTAATTGATAGCTGTGGTTACTGGTTCTGAAATAAAGTGTTCTGCCTACCTTGACACAACTGATCACTGTATTATGTAAGACCCTGCACTATGGAGTAAATTAGTAACTTTTCAACTGTGATTGTGTTACTGGAAGTAAAATATAAGATGGCATGAAGTAAATCGCTCTATACAGCAACGAGAAGAGCTAAACTAGTGTTGAATTGCACATATTTTCCAAATATGTTCTTTGCAATTTTCCATACTGTTTTAGCTGTTGTGTTCATTATAGATACAAATCTGTTGTTAAAAGTACCACACACAAAATTACAATCAGTCATGATTCCTTTTCATTCATTAATTCTTTGTTATATGAAACGAGGTATTTCAAGTAAAAATTATAGCTCTTCACGAGATCAATGCATTGTGTGGCATACCAGACTTGTTTCTGTGTAGACATAAACCATTGTTTATTTGGCATTGGGCAGAGCTGGAGCTGTAATAATTGTTTTATTTCTGCAACTTGTGCTCCTCTGTACTGGTCATCTAGCAACAGAGCCTCTCCATATATCTTTCCAGAACTCGTAATCATCAGTTTCATATTTTTCCTTCACTGTCACATCTTTCATAACCTGTTATTCTTACCTTGAGCTCGGCCTTTTACTCTGTTGTTCACGTTCTAACCATTGTTGGTATTCAATCTTCCAACATTCCCATAACGTGGCTATTTCATCTTATCATGTGTAAAATGTAAAGCTGCTTAATTAAGCACCATGCCATGACATATTGGGCCAGGTGGAGGTATAGCTCCAGTTAGACATCATAAGGCTGCAGCTGCTTTATCCACAGAATCCAATGGATAGGAAATTGGGTGAGTCCCACAGCCAATCTGAATGCTGTGGGGAAGAGAAAAATCTGTTTTCCCTGCCAAGGATCAAACCCTGACTCCTTGGCCATCCAGCCCATAGTCTGTCACTACTGGAAAGTTCCTGGACTAGGTCAAAAAAGAAATGCTGGCTTAACCTACTCAGTGTTGGCTGCCATTTTCAAAATAGTCTTGGGAATGTATACAGCGATCCCATCATATTTTCGAAACTTCAGAAGCAGCTTGGAAGTAATTTTCCATAATGCTCTCAAGTACCGCTTGTAATTCCCTTTAGATGTCACCTCATCCCTTCAGTTTCATTTTAAATTTGGGAAACAAAGCAAAATCACAGGGGCTAAGTGCAGTGAGTAGGGAGGATGCAGAACAATAACCACGTTGTTGTTAGTCACAAACTTTGTGGTTTTCAGGGATGTTGGCAGCGCATTGTGGTGACAGAGCAATGTGGCTCATGTTCAAATTTTCTGTTAAGATCTCCTGGCAAACTGAAAACTAATCCCAATGGTGTCTGTGAGCTCATGGATTGTTTGGTGACGGTTTACATGGATGAGTCCTTGAACTATACAACATTTTCTGTCATTTTACTGGTGCATGGTCACCCTGAATATTTGTCATCTCAACTGACACTCGAGCAGCCCTGAAACGGTGAATGCCATTAAGAAAACACTGTCCAGCTTAAAGAATGTTCTCCAAAAGCCTCACGAAGCATTTCAAGGGTTTTGGTAGCAGATTTACTGAGCTTCACACAGACACATTCGTCGATTTTACCATTCATCACAGAGAAAACAAAACACAAAGTTGAGAAATCACTTGTTTAAAAACAATGAATGTTCACAGCACACTGTAATGTTGCAGACAGATGCAACAGGCTTTTGGAACTGTGACCTTGGCCTCCCCTTATCTGCTTTCACCGCAGCACTTGCAACAGTAACAGTCCAGGAACTTACTGATACCACCTCATACATGAATTATGTTTGCAACTCAAATTTTAGTCAAGGCCATAAATGGTACATTTCATCAAAATATATTTAGGAGTGTCAGAAATGAAAAAGGTGGGCAGATATGACCTCTCAATAATGTTTTCACATCATACACTTGTGCGACTAATGCCTGAAGATTTTTGTCATGGGACAGAGTCTGTTAGTAAAAGAAGCATACCAGAAAGGTTGATTTCCGTTACTTACAGAATACAGAGTTATCCACAGTTTTAAGCAATGGTGCTACAAATATTAACAGGATCAAATCACATGAAGATTGTTTGGGAGATGATGCCGAAGTACTTTGTGAAGCATCTACATCAGAAGCAATAAATGCTTCATTATGTCCATTAATACTTTATTTTACAAATGTTAATTACAAGATTATGCATATTACAAAACAAGATAGTAATAATATAATAAGTCCTTGCTACACAGTAGCAACACACTTCATTGCTGCAAGCCTGGTTCCTGGCCTAAAGCTAATTAGAAGTTATGGTATTGTTTCAATTCACTGGTGATAATACTGAATATACTTACAAAGTTAAATTCATTTCTCTGATAAAGATTAAAAATGTATTTTTCTTTACTTAATATCTTGGTAAAAAAAATTCTGTTTCTGTCTGGTTTACAGGTTGACATGGTGTTGTAAGTTTGATATTTTTGTTGGAGAGAAATATTGTGAGGTGACACGGTACATAACTGGCCTTCATAAAATTACTGTTATGGACCAATTGTGTACTGTTATAGACAAGACAGCCTGAATTTCTATTTAAGAAAAAACTAACATATATAAGATGGCTGCGCCATAGTTCAAGCGTTTAGCTGCTGGCTTCCCACTGTGGCGGCCCGGGTCTGGTCAAGTGGGATTTGTGGAGGACAAAGTGGCGCTGGGGCAGGTTTTCTCCGAGTACTTCGGTTTCCCCTGCCAATCTTCATTCCACCAATTGCTCGACAATCACCCTCACCTATCATCTGGGGCTGGTACAATAGGCCAGAAGTGGCCGCAGTACAAGGGACTTAGTCCCGCCCCACTAGCAATAAAAGAAAACATATATATGAGAGTGCAAGAGCCTTGTCTGTTGTAGCCAAACTGTTAAAGCGATGTTCAAATATGTGGTGGAAATTATGGGTGAAATTTGAAACCCTCATTCCACTTCTTGTAATTACATGTGCAAACTTTAATTTTGTAATTCAAGTTCCAGCCGCCATACCCTGTAATTTTAAAGTTACTATGCCTGTTATTTCTTCACAGTAACCGAAGAATATCCTCAAAAATGTATTCCTGACCTTGCCTACAAAACCACCTACTGTTTGGATTAATTTATTTATAGATGATCCATCCACTACATGGACTAACTATATAGTACTTAATGAGAGATGAGATTATCATGAATGGCCATGGATATAGATACAATGGTGTGTGACTCTGTTTACATGTGACATGTTTCAGTTTCATTGCCATAAATGAAACACAATTGTACTTGATAAGTGAAATTTGACAACACTCAAGTCACTATAGATTTCTATGTTTGAGGTTAGGTTAGACACTTCCAGATATTTACAGTTTGTGAAGTGTAAATATATAAATATATAACTTTTAAAGTTACAAATCTAGCTGATTTCTGTTTAGGCAAACAATATGGTTAATGAATGAGATATGCAGACTGGTTCAGAATCTACAATAGTGACTCTGAATGACAGCAAAGACAGGGAAGTTTCTGAACTATTTACCATTTTTCTGAATATACTTTCCAGACATATAAAGGGTTATGTTTAATGTCAAAAGTCTCAAAATATCTTATGTCATTTAATGAATGTTTAAATCAGTGCTGCCCTAATGTTGATACACAGAACAAATATGATCGCCCGGCTTTCGTTTGTGTATTTTATTATATGCCCTACATATGTTACTACTGCCAATGAAACTACAATTTTACAGTCAGTAATGTTCCAACAAAGCAGTCTTTCTACCAGAGTTTGGCATACCAGGTTACCATTATATTCTGTGAAATATTTTGACACTTCAAACAATTCAAAAAGGTAGTTAATGTCTATCTGATACAAAATTCTCACAGCAGTAAGAATGAAGAAAACAGTAAGGCCATGCAGTCTAGCAGAAGTCCACTGATGTTTTGGAGGAATGTATTTCCTTCATATTTTGGGGTGAACAGTAAAGCAAGCAAAACTGATGGGTTGCAACCTGCTTCTTGCAGGTTTCTTGCTTTGCTTATTTTTGAACCCTGAAAATGACTGTTTCTTCAAAATGTTCTTGGACTTCTACCAGACTATACATTGTTACATCCCAGAAGATGTTTTAATCTATATTAAAAAATTATTTACTCCCTTGGCCACCTCAAAAACGGCACAATATGGATATGATGGTAAGACAAATTTCCAGCAAATCAAATTATTTTAAAAAATAAGCTATGTATATGATACATACATTATGTCACAGATGTATAGATAATATAAATTATAATCAGCTTAAAAATAAGGAATCATCTTTTTCCAGTGGTTCCCATACATTTTCTGGAAAGTGAATCACACAGATCCTTTGCCCCACTGTGGGAACCACAGTTTTAGAGATCTGAACCATATTAGAATGTGGGTGCATTGAGAATAAACAGCCTGTCTTCTTCCTTCTTGATCCATCTCAGAAGTTTGTTGACAGCATTGATAGCACTGTGCTTCGTGATTAGAGGTTCAAATGTTACATACAATTCAAAACCAGAAGTAACCTGAAAAAGATGAGACTTCATAGAGTATAATGTCCATCTTATAAAATAAGTTTTGACTGGGAGAACATAACTTTATAGAGAGGACCCTTCGTCCATTCAGAGTTATCTGAGACAGTGTAACATTACAGGCTATTAATTTGATCTTGTCCAATGCCCTTAAATCCTCCCTCCTCATCTCTCTGTCTGTCTGTTCATGTATTACAAAAATCAATATAATAACCCCCCTGAAAATTAATTTTTTTGTTATGCCTTTTGACTTCTCTTCAATATATGGAAGATAATAATGCATGAAACAGTTTTCTCCTTCAGCCCTCCATAGGTCTCACAGCTATTGTTCACAGTCTATCAATATTCGTTTGCTTTGTGCTAAAGAGCATGTTTTGGGAATCTTGTTACTGTCCATTCTCTTATGGCGAGTTAACAGTTTTTCCTGAAAAATATATGAAGGTTATTCAGTTCAGTCATTATAGTGACTAGGTGACAAGCTGGACAAGTGAAGAGTTGAGGTTCAATTTCTGGCAGAGGCAGGGACTTTCCTCTTCTCCACAATGTCCAGATCGGTTCTGGGGTCCACTCGGCCAGCCTCCTTTACAATGAATACCGGGAGCTGTTTCGCAAGGAGTAAAGTAGCAGGGGCATGAAGCTGGCTCATCTCCATCTAGTGCCTAGGTTAAGAATGTTGGAACTGCATCTTCACTTCCCCATGTGTCTCTATGAGATGGTGCTTAATTAATTAAAACCCATGGATAAATTTACCTTACCATTCTCAGATGTGACGCCACGTAATCCGGTGTACCAGTACTAACCATTTGGAGGAACATGCCTTCTACATATAATATACAGTACATCCATCTACACTACTTTGTTTTTCAAATTTGTGTTTAATGAAACATTACCATGCTACATGTTTCAGTCTTTCGACTATCATCAGGCATTTACAGATGCTGTTTGCTTGACTTGCATTAATTATTTTTATTTGTTAAGTTATACATCCTGTTGTGTGTATCACAAATATAGTGTAAGACACCTCCTGCATGATGAAACATCCCAGAAGACCGTAATCTTCGCATCCACCATACCAGAACTTGAAATCTCCCCATGCATAAGATCAACACAATGAGGCATGAAGCCACATGAGATGGAGTAATGTAAAAGTTCTGGGCACTCTTAACTCTTTGACTGGCGCGAAGGGTATTTAAATCCCACCCCTGTCCTGGCAGGCCCTTTAAACCTTATGTCGCTAAAATGCATGTAGTTACTTTCTCCTAAACAACTTCAAAAAAATTGGTTTTTAAAAACGAAATTTTCAGGAACTAATTAAAATAAAATATTTTATGTAATAAATGCCTTTCCATACCTCTTTATTAGTTTTTCTTCGTGTGATAAACATTGAAACATGAAAGTTTGCAGAGAGCCACACCACAGCCTGCACACATGATACTTGTTTCTTTTCTAACCTTGTGCTTAGCACTCACGCGACACTTTCTCAGGGCACCATTCTTCTTATTGTTACTGGGAGGAACATGGACCATTTTGTGAATTTTCAAGCCACCCTCTAGACGATTTACTGGCTCTTTCACTGGTGGTCTTTTCAAGGTCGAGGGCGGAGGCGTGACTGCACTCGAGTCTGACGCAATAGATTCGTCATCCACTTCATTCCTTGACTTTTCTCCCTCTCCACACTGTTTGTTTGGTTCAGTCATTTTTCTACACAGTCCAATATAAAATCTTTGAATCTGTAATTTCTCTTCTTGTATTTTTCGTTTGTTGTGTTCTTTTTGAATAGAATGAAACTATTCAACCGCAAAGACATGTTTTGTCCATACCATGGGTGTGAAATAGGGGCCTAGTGGACAAATATTCTTCAATTTCAGGGCGTTTGTCGATTCCTGTCATGAACACAATTCCTAAGTATGTCCAGATTTCATCTGATGTGACATAATTGCAATTGTGTTTTCGAGAGTGAGGAGCTAACTCATGTGAGTTGAAGTGCTGGTGAGCATAGCGATTGGTTTCAGTTGTGATGTAATTTGCCAAGTCGTCATCCAGAAAAAATTTTAATCCATGAAGAGGGATGCATTTTATGTGTTATATCAATTTTGATCCCGAAACTATTAGCAAATAGAAATATTGGGGGTACAATGTCTCCGTACGTTCATGAGATGGGCGTGTCAGGCACCGCACTCGTGGTAGGTAAATGTTCATGATTACTGTCTTGTGGATCATTGTCTATCACTGTATTATTGTCACTATCAACTTCATCCAATTCAGGAATCATTATTTCATTGCCACTATCATCATCAGAACAAATCTCGTTCACAACATTTTCCAGCTGGTCTGTAGGAACACGAAGACACTTGCTGCAAGAAGCCATGGAGAAACTGAATGAATGTGAAATATTTTCTGACCTTTTCCTTCTCAGAGGGTTCTGACAGTAATATAGACCCTCACAAAGTTTACAAGGGTTCTTTACAAATATGCACAAAAACTATCATATATATGTTTTTGGTTGATGAGTGCCAAGAGAGCAAAGAAGGGAAGAGATTGTCAAAGCGTTAAAACACGCCAACGCCAGGGAACGGCTGGCATCGTCCGGGCGTTAAAACACGCCCGCGCCAGTCAAAGAGTTAACCTTGGTACTGCAGACATGAATGATGAGTTTCATGGTCTGCTCTCCTTCATCTCCTGAGTAACAAGCCACCAGTACCCATTAGGTAGGAGGCTGCGTAGGTCCTCGTGTCAGTCTGGATGCGACAGCAAATTCAACCCCTGTCCCAGCTCATGAAGGAACATGACATAACTTTCTTACCCAGCCCAGCATTGTCTCTTTGTCAAGCTGTTGGTGCAGCAGCTTCAGAGGTCTTGATGCAGCATGGAGGTGGTGATGCAAGGCTTGGTACAGACCAAGCAGCCGCTGTGACTCCTCCGTAGTATGATACGGGGGCTCCAGTGCTGGACTCCAAAACTGTGCTGTTGACTTGCACTTGTACAGAAAATGACGCATTTCAGGCACCCCTACTTGTGATGCCGTATAGCTCGGTCGGTTCACAGACTCGTTAATTGCTTCCAGACAGTTGCTACGTCGCAATTTCTGAAAAAAAATCACTTGATTTCAAATAAAATATTTAATTTAAAGTTCTCTGACGGGGTCTTGAGACAGGATCATAAGATTTCTTAGTCTATGGGCAAAGTACTCTTCTGCCATGAGCAGATTCCCAGGCTTCAATGAATTCTGGAAATCCATAAAGAAATGCAAAGATTGACTGATTCTTGGGAGTGATGACTTGGTATGAATGCGGAAGAAAGTGGTCATGACATATTTCAACATTTAATCTTACTCCAGTCCTCACTCTTACACTCCATCATTCTGTCCCCCAGTTATCTATATAACGCTTATCAGTGGGTGCATACATTGCTTTTATTAACTTCCACGTCCAGCAATAAGTTATGACAAATTTGAAGTCCTTCTGTTTTGAAAATGGAGAAATTCTTCCTAAAAGATTTCCAAGTTCACTGCAGGACATGACAGTGTTACAGGGTGCCAGGATAGCTGAGTGAGTACAGTGACTAGGCTATGGGCTGGATGACTAAGGAATCATGATTCAGGAACAACAAATTTTTCTCTTCTCCATGGCACTCACATCACCCAGCCTCCTATCCAAGGGCTGTTGTTCTTTCATGGACAAAGGGGCCGTGGCACAAGACTAACAATTCACTTTCATCTAGTACCATGGTTAGGAATATGTGCATCCATGTCCATGGCATGCTGCTGAATTAAGCAGTGGGACAACTACTTTTACCTTTACCTTCAGCAATTTGAATAGTAAATCATACTAGAAGCATTATGGTGTTGGACATTATCCATTGTCTTGTCTATTTTCTAAAAACCATCCCATTTCTTTGCTCTGAAAACTTACAGAAATCCTACACATCATACAGTAATGTTTCTAAGGACTATAGCATTGTATAGGATAAAGAATTTGTAATGTCCTGAAAAATGCAAAGAGTATTTTGATGGTGAAATCCTCTGGGAAGCAGCCATGCAAAATATGCAGAAGATCTGAGGATAATATTAAATGAATCTCATATAATTAGGTTGTAGGGATGTGACCTGGATTGAAACGTGTAACAGTTGAGGTTCTCACAAGGAGAGTTTTAATATTACCATCTTCTGGGATATGGATTATCTCAAGACTGTGTCCATTAACAGGACTTTTTTGTATTAGGCAGTGCTGACACCTTCAGATTAGACCTTGACACTTAGTTAACTGGTACATTCTGGTGTTAGTTCTCACCTCCACAATTTTCTGCTTTGCTTCTGACAGTGTGAAGAACACATCCCGGTCCACAGTCAGCAGTAGAAGACACGCCTGACAATCATCTGACAGGTAGGATACGTGGCCATACAGGAACCCGCTTGCAAAGAAGAATGTGTTTCAGTAGCTGAAATTTCTATTCATTTCAATATTTTTATGTTGCTATAATGACAACTGATCACGCGAAGATGGAAGTACAGACTATTTGTGAAACATTGTTGGATATGAGGTTTTCACAGCAGCGATTATAAAAGTACTATTATCTGCAATGTGCCACCGTGTTGCCCAGTAGATATTCACCACTAATTTGTAGGAACACATGGCCTTCATATTCAGGGTCGAAGAATAAGCCAAGAAATTGCTGTCTACCTCCTGCTGGTTACTTGCTTGGCTTACTCTTCAACTCTGAACATGGAGGCAGTACATTCCTCTGAAAGTTGTGAACTCCTACCAGACTACATGTAGTCAGAACATAGAAGAGGGTACGCTTAAGCAAATATCACTCAAAACATGCTTTGGGATCAATGATAAATTAATTTTATCAAGTAGTCAGTAGATTTAAGTTGCAATTCTGAAACGTTTCAAGTTAAATATGACCCCAAGTTCAATATATGAGCATGTTATGGACTGAATGCCATTCTGGAGAAGATTATACATCATCTTAGCAACCTTGAGTCAAATTTGGGTAAACATATGGGTGTCCAGCTCTCTGATGCTTTGAATGACTCAGATGAATTCACTAGGTTGAAAATCAGGTGGAGATCTGCTGGATGAATGAAGTATTTCTTCATGCGTACGAGTGTAATCAGCTGACTCTTGGCAAGCAGTATGGCAAATACAAGGTTCTGAAACAGAGCAGGCAGGACAAGGTTTAAGGTTCTCATTGTGATGAAAACTAAGAGTACTGTAATCTTGAGACAGAATCATTTAAATTTCTTCAGAAGATGGGAGGTGGATGGAACTGACTCCGGATCATGTCCAGTGGTGGACTTTGGTACAAGCAGTGTCGAAACCTTGGTTTACATTACAAGGGTCAGAAGTACATCTTGAATTAATCTTACACTGAAGCATCATCTTGTTTATTCAGGCATATAATATTTATATGACATTTTTCATTATATCTTCAGTCATAAATTTCATAATGCCTTAATGACCATTCAGTTAATTGCTTATGAATTACATATCCTATTATGGTATTTTAATTCTTTCCACCCTGAGTTTCTTTCAATTCCAATTTTGAGAAATCTGCATATGGTTAGCTTTAAGTGTTAAAGAGATTACGTGACATATTTACTGTCATACCAGTTTCAAACCAGGATGCTGTTTCACACTTGCAGCACAGAAATGATGAAAGCACTGTAGTCTCACAACCAACCTTAATTTTTCCACAGGTTTGTACTATAGTCTGTGTTATGGAATCCCTTACAGATGGTGTCAATGGTAAACACTTGACTGCACCAAGAAGAAATGCTGGTTCTCGTTCCATAAAGTTCAAGAGGTGATCAATCAATCGTTCAGCACCAGCTAACAGGCGACGCAAATCATAATTCCGCCGCTGTTCATAAATTCTGTTCAGTTGGGATGATGTGAGAACACTTACAACTTGGTTATAGACATACCTGGAACAGAATTGAGAGGTACTGTGCTACTGGAAGAGTATTATTGTTATTATTATTATTATTATTATTATTGGAGGGGGGGTTTCCCCATGCACCGCGACCAGTTTGATCTATTGTGCGTCCCCCTATGATCTTCTACCAGCCTCTATACCTTACTGGTACTGGTGCTTTCCATCAGTCCCTACTCAGCCAGCGAGGTCGGCCTCTACTGGCTCAGAGGTATCTCAATGCTTCCCCCATCTATCAGAGGCGTTAGAGACTACTGTTGAGCGGGAAATGTCCTTAATTTAGCTCAGTGGTCTCCTTTGGAGACATGAGGCTCTTTCACATGCCGTAAAGCTACGACATGGGACCCACGGCTTAAAGTCCCTCCCGGAGGACTTGTTCCCTGAATTTTTCCGCCCTTAAAAATTCCACGACCTCCGCCGGGTACTGGAAGAGTAACTAATGAATAAAGCAACAACAGACTTGGTCTTGAACCATATCCAAATTGAGACACTTTGCTCAATGTGAATGATACAGAGAAACATGGACTAAAACACAGAAGAAACCATCTTCAGTTACACACCCACCCATTTTCAAGTAATGTCACATAATGAGCATCTTCTGAAGCTGGCAGTACAGAAAATTCCAGAAACACTGTGTACATTATATTAAATATATCTACATAGTCACTGCCCAACATGAGGAGACATTCTGTGCTCTGATACCCATAAAGAAGTGAAACAAACATACTGGAAATGACTATAATTGCAAAACCTGATATTACTTACGTGAGTTGAAGAACTAACTGTGATACACTTTCTGTTGTTCTTGAAACAGAAACAAGGATAATAGGACCCTTTATAAGGAAAACAAACTTAGAGTTCCCTGTGTGGATTGACCGAATTGTATCCTGATTTGTTTGTACAAAGGACACCAATGCCTGCATTACACCAAATATGGTCACCAGCTTATCTTCAGTCCCATACCTGTCAACAGAGCAAGACCAGCGAGGTTCAGCTTCCACCATGAAATAAAATATAATTATGTGCTTTTGTGAACATAGAAAATTCAATCTTATGATAAGCACAAACTCAGAAAATGCATGCTTCAGTTCACTTACAAATGTAATTTTGATTTATTAATGTCATTCCTAAATATTTAAACTTTTTCCAAATTTTCAAAGGATTTCCTGTGTTGTGAGCATGGTCTCAGGCAGGCAAGTTAGATGCTCCTCCTGTAAATCAGGTCACCCATGTTCACTTACTGCATTACAGTTTTGGCCTGCATCTACTTAGTTCTGTTTGTTTCTAAACCAGCCTCCTTACTACCATCTGAAGGAGTTTCTGTGTGTTTCTGAACAGTATTCATATTGCAATGTTGCAACCAATATCTTGCCTATTTCATACTGTGATTCAGAAGAATATGAACTGGATAATTTCATATTCTTCATATTTGCAGTACTTAGACAAACACCACCAAGAGCACTACAACTTTACATATAACACAGTTGGTGTCACGTAAGACATAAAGAAGAAAAAATTGCCTGAAAAATTAAATAATACCTTGAATATATCGGTTTCCCAGCTGCACTAAGAATAAATACATGTTTCTTCCTTTCCTTCCATTCAGGGTTCTGCCAGTAGTCTTCTTCTGGCAAAGACCCAACAGGGGTGGCTGCAGCATTAGCATCTTCATTAGATGTGAGGCTTGTTTCACTTAACTGTGATGCTATTTCTTCCTGAAATGAAACAGTCACTTTACTTACAGTGTTCAGGTGAACGATAATTAGCCACTGTGTTAAGGGCCAGTGTAAGCCTACTCCTTATGCATTCACTCATATATTTTTTAATAGATTTTAACCTTCACAAGCAGTATATCTCACTTGCAATGACCATATATATGCAAAACGTTTCTGTGAAATTAAAATAAATCTATGAATGGAAAAATCAGTCCTGACACATTCCCATATACTTATAACCCTTCCATTAACTTGGGTTTAATATAACAACTACTACTGTTACATGCCACTTCATCATTTTCAATTATCTTGTCGTCCTGTTCAGAACTTGAGTCCTCTGGGACAGTCGTATCATTTAATTCTTCTTGAATTTCACTGATAGTACTGGTGGTGCTTTCTTTCATCTGCCTTTCATCAAAACTCGAATCCATTTCTTGTTCCAGTTCTTCAAAAGAATCAGTTGTAACAAGCATACTTTCAAGAGATGCCCCAGGTTCGAAATCTGGAACAACATCGGATTCCTCATTATTATCAGCGTCTTTCTTTTCCTCACACACGCCTTTCGAAGCCATATTTCTGTGCTGAACTCCACTTTGAACGGAGCTGATTTAGAATTCGTACATAGATTGGGCAATTACACATAGTATATAAAGTAGATGCTTTCTATCCATCATATTGAATTTCAATATTATTTTGGCATTTCAACGGAGACACAACGGTATTCATACTTCAGACATTTGCTGATTTAATAATTATTTTGTAATTTAAAATGAGCAATATCGATTCACCGTCACATTTTAATCGGCCATTCTTTAATAGCTTTAATATATGTTGTAATATAGGTCTTATTGGGTTGGCGAAAGTGATAGTCGAACTGAATGTACACATTTACAAGGCTATGCTTGTTTCAAAAAGCAGCAGCACTGCTGCCATCTATTCATTGTCTCGTATGATGTCGCATGGAAGTGTGTGTACGTTGGGGTACAAAAATAAATATTTGGAAAATAACTTGTGTTAGTTCTGTGGTGACGAGTGCAGTGTGTTAAAGCGCCTCTGAAATGGGCGTTACAGTGTACGTATTAAATTAATCGGCCTGTCTTTGTACCGTACCAAATTTTTCACGAATTATTTGTTTAACCTCAAAAACTTTGACATGCTTAATCGTGCCATGTTCATATTTCAGTTTACAACAATTTCCGATGGTGGAGAATCGTACTGGACCGCAGACTATCGAGTTTCTCACCAAACGCGTGATGGCACTTGGGGCAGTGCAAACTGGGCAGTTTCTTGTGGACTGCGACACCTTTATGTCAGTTCCCGCCGTTGGTAAGCTCCGTGTTGTTTCATTATGATAAATATATAATATGCGTGCAGTCTTTTTAACATAAATGTTTATATAAGTTTGAAACCCCATTTAGTTGTATTAATATGAGGTTCATTATATATTTTGTTTTATAAATATTTATTTTTTTCACTTTCGTATAATTTCCAAGTTACTTATTAGGCTATATAGCTGGTGATCTCCATTGCTGTCACAGATAGGAATACTATTATCATTTTAAAATAATGATAGAATACTGTGTGTTGTTCTCTTAACATTTTGTGCTGTGTACTTTCGTGGCTATAATGGCAACACATAGCATGCAGTATGTTACGGTGTAACACCTGCAGAGAGGGGAAAAATATGTATATAAATCCATGTAAGGTAAAACCACCGTTCTTATGAGAGTGATGGGTGTTTTTATACTGACATCATGTTAATTGTTTGACAACAAAATTACTTTCTGGAATGTCTTTGCAAGCTGCTTTAATATAGTGCATCTTTATTAACATAACATTTTCTCTGAGACAGTAATTGCTCATACCATATTATTATAAAAGGATTTTGTATACTGCGCAAATGCCATGAAATTCGCTTCAAACTTGACACTTTTAACGTGAAAGATTGCCATTATACGAAAATTGCTGTCACTTTCAGTCACCAAATTTGATAAATTAAGACAATGAATCACCAAATGTTCCCGAGCAAAGCATTCAAAGGTTAAGGGTCATCACATCGACCCGGCATGAAACGCGGCGTGGGCGTCACCGGAGCGAGGTTCTTGCGTCATGAACGGTGAGGTACACTTTATGGACTGAGCGGACGAAGTCTGTTAAAGATACAATTCGAATGTTCACCAGAAGATGGCAGAACAATTTAAACTAATGGTAGCGAAGAGTATATGCCTTTTTTCATCCATTTATTTAACGAACTTACTCCTTGAGCAATCGAATTAAACAGTTTATACGAATTAGTTGTCCGTACTGTAGAGTTAGGACGAATCAACGAGACTTCTCTCTCCCTATCCTAACCATACAGGATTTATTTTTCGAGTGTCATTATTAATTTATTTATTTCTTCCCCTTCGCTCCTTTGGCGTTCCTCGTTTATGTGCGTTCGTAACCATGAGTACCGCGAATTATACTTGTTCCGTCTGTCCGTTTGTATGCATGTAACGACTCGAGAATCGGTGAACTGATTTCTGTTGACAAACTTCCGTTTTCGTTATAGACAAAAATGACACGCAGTGACCTACTTGCGTTTCTGCCCGTATCTCCAGCGTGACTGGTAAATATTCTGAACGAAAAGGACTTTAAGTAGTTATAGAGAGAAATGAAACATATTTTATGTCCAACATATTTATCCTCTTTTTTTTCTTTGCTGTCAAGTACAAAATGAACGGTTAAAGGGTAGAGAACCTCATTATTGTATTGTTTTGTTGTTGTGAAGGGCTGCATACATAATCTGTAGGCCTCGGAGGGAAAAATTCATGCATAACTAACTACCTAGCAAACGAACCCCATGGAGCGAAGTGCTTCTTGAGAAGTTAATAATCGCTCAGACCGTCAAGAAATTTCTCATTTATTTTGGAACCCAAATCTTTATTGGCTTGTCAGCAGGGCCGGCCACTAGCCCCTATTCTGAGCCATATGAAACCAGTTCACATTCACACACCTTTATCTGTTTTAATATTATCCTCCCATCCAAGTCTTTCAAGTGGTGTTTTTCCCTGTATGTTTTCTCCCTATAATCTTTTAACTAATTAACAGCATGGAGCCAAGCCCTTTTTGAGAAGCCAACAGTCGCTCAGCTACTGAAGAATTTCCCAGCTTTTGTGAAACCCGAAAGTCACGAGTAATTTCCATGTTCACAAGAGCCCTCCATTGGTCCCTAATCTTAGCCAGATGAAGCCAGTCCATACCACCCCATCGTATTTCTCTCAGATCAATTTTAATATTATCCCACCTATGTTTAAGTTTTACAAGTGACCACCTTCTTTCTGGTTTTCCCACCAGAGCCATGTACGGACCCTTCCCCCATTCGTGCTACATGCCCTGATCATCTCATCCTCATTGACTTGTACTTTGTGAAGAGTACAGGTTACGGAGCTCCGCATTATGCAGTTTTCTCCAGTCTCCTGTTATTTCATCTCTGTTCTAGACTCATGTATTTGTAATATCTTCCATGAGTGCTACATGCCCTGCTCATCTCTTTCTTAAAGAGAAGTAAGCTTGTGTAGGTCTAAAACTTGTTATTTAAAACAGTCAGGTACGCAAAATAAATAGAATGTAAAGTGTCCCCAAACGGCAGTGTAGTGTACTTTGTTCGGGAGATGCGTGTTTCGAATCACGTTCGCGACATCGGCTATCTTGATTGAAGATTTTCGTGGCTTTACGCAGTCATTCGTATACCTGAGGGATAGGACCTCGATTAGGCCGTGAACTCTTCCTTCTAAATCCTTTCAACTTCTTCAGTGATTTATAAACCTACCGTCCTGCGCTACAACTTGTGGTCTAGCTTATGACAGCCATTAAGTGACCTACAGTAGAGTCTAAATCACAGCGTTGACGGTGAATACATGGAGAATTCCTGCTGCAAAGCAGTGCTCTCCTTCCTGAAGTGTACTATCTGCATAAGGAAGCTTTAAAGTAAATGAGACCGTACCGTGGAGTAATTTAAAGAGGGTGGCTAAAGGAGGGCTTTATCTGGTTTAATCTTCATATCAAGGCTGTCGCAACGTGAAAAAAGTTCTCTCCAGTTTAGCATAGTATTGTGTAGTCAGTATACAAATTTGGCAAATAATTTAAGGACCGACGCTTCAAAATTTAATTAAATCTCCTCCACGTGTCCCTCCGTCGCACTTTTCATTTCCTGTGCCCAATCCTCGCCTTGTTTCTGCTGCATTAATATACGGCGCTCTCTAACTATTGCGAAAAGACACTAGACGTGAAATTAACCAACCTGTTAGCGCGCGAGTGTGTGTTTCCTGCGCAGGACAAGTAAAACACGTTTCATGTTATAACTGTTTAATATGCTCCTTTAGTAAGCCATTTGGACTAGGATTTTTATTGATTTTCCTCAGCCCGTCCAAGAAAATTCTGGGATAGCGCTCCGAGTAGGCAACGACCGTTTCCTTTCATCAGAACATCCGACGCTATATAGTCCCAGCGCTGAAGTCCCCTGGAGAAAACAAGTCCTTCGAGTCCCGTAATCATGTTGAAGAAAACAGTGCGCATAACATTTAGGTGCCAAAACCCGAATAGAAGACATAGGCATATAAAGGAGAATAATATTAAAATGGATCTCGAAGTTGGGTGTAATTCTTTGTGGGTTATTTTACGACACTGTTAGTATGTAGACTATATAGCGGCAAATAGTAGTAGCGATGAACTGGAAGGGATTTGAAACCGGTCTTGGCATAATCGAGGTACTATCCTGGCCGGTTCCTGGAAGCACTGAGGAAAACAAAGAGAAACCGCAGTCATAAAAGCCGAAATTCGAACCGAGGATCTCCCGAGGACGTGACGAGCGATACCGCTGGGTCAGCCTTCTTCTTGGGGAAGATGAGGGTCGCCATAAGTGCCCTCTTAGTGTAGCTACTTCCGGCCAGTACCTTCCAACGTGTTTCGGCTCTGTTAACTTCTTCGCTGATTCGCGGTTCTTCTTTCTGAGTAGTAGGGTAGAAGCTAGAAAGATTTGGTTACTGCAGGTTGAGCCATTTCACTTTATTGACATAAATAAGCAACGGAAAGACACACAGCCAATATGAAGGTTTTCTTTACAACATACAAGTCGATATCAAAACAAATATGAAAGTGACACTGTACTCCATACCACTAGATACAAAAAATATTGTCTTAAGACTATATCCTGATGACTTTCTCGCAGTAACTAATACATAGAGTCAGTGTTATTATTATGGTACGTAGGGGATGTATTCATATCATAAATGCCTTAAAAATTAAGTGCCACTTACACACTATATAAGCTAGTTACTAGGACTATTATATGTATATTATTATTGTCTTACAAGTCTGCGTTACATTTCAGTATACTAATTACAATATTGATAAAATATGCTAGAAATACTGGGTCAGTATTTTAAAAGTAAATATATCTACTTGTTATATCATGATAGGATTTCTATTGACTCGTCGTTAAAAAGATCTTCAGTCAGGGAGATGGTTACACTTATCCCTCTTCTGTACGCAACACGCAACACGCCACTTGTATTGTTAGATTACATTAAATCACATGGTCACTGTTCTACAGTGGGCACTAAATTGCTACATGAGGTACAGTTTCACAAAGTAAAAGGTAAACTTGTCCCCTTGCTTAATGAATTAATTAAGCATTGTGCCATTAAGAAGTATGGGGGAGTGGATGTATAGACCCACTCATTCTTAACCTCGACCCTAGTTGGAAGTGAGTAGTCAGCTTCATGCCCCAGTCACTTTACCCCCGGGGAAAGAGTCCCCGGTACCTATTGGATAAGAGACTGGGTGGGCCCCAGGTCCGGTTTGGACGACGTGGAGAAGAGATAAATCTCGCCCCTACTGAGACTCAAAGTCCGACCCTCGGAGTTCACCCAGTCGCTATACCGACTGAGCTATCCCGGGTCCCTGATAGAATTGCGAAAGAATGATATTGTAACGGTCGAATGATGTTTTACGAAAGACTGAATTTTAGTGTTCAGTGTATAATAGTGATCCTGTGATTAACTGATAAACACAGGCAGCTTGCGCATGCGGAAGATTGATAAGTGCTGCCAATTGAACCAACGCAACAGGACCCTACAGGGTAGAATTATGAGTTAAGTCGAGGTTAGGGGTTCCTTAGCTAGAGGAATAATATTAAGTTACTAGTTTGTTTTACTTTTTTTTTTGCAGTACGTTTCAAGTTATTGTCATTTTTAATTAAAACTTTAAATTGGTCTTCATCAACTTTAGACCTATTATATTCTGGTAACCACTGTAAAACAATTAAATATTGTACAGTCTGTTTATTAGAAAGTGGAAGAACTTGAGCGATTAATTCGCTGTAAGAACTTGTGCCATTCTGAAGCTCTGAGCATTTTATGAACTATTTGCTATATATATATATATCAGGGGTGCCAAAAAGTGTAGGGAACGGAATGATATTGAGCAAACTAGAACAGTTTTACTACCCTGGCCATATAAACTCTACCTCTACGAATAAACCTAATCAGTAGGCGACTGGTGCTCTTATGTGCTTGTATCGTGTATATATTCATGAACTCCTGACTGTAAACAACTCTTCGCTGCCAGTCGCTTTCGAATTAATGCTTGTATCCGCCGCGTAATTTTAACACCCCTGTTACGAATGGTAGTTAGATCTATAGCGTCGCATGTTTGGTATGGGATCAAAAGGAGTGCCACGTGAAGTTATGTGAGACTAAAGAATTGCAGGTTGTTAAATTGTGAAAGGTTTCTTCAGTTTGTATGTAAGCGCTGAGTTACGTCTACCTGCAGAACAGAGGCAGGATATCTCACTTAGATAACCTCTCGACATGTACGCTGTATGATAATTATTGTCGTGTTTCTAAAGCTATGCCGTATTTACGCTTACAGCCTTAGCGTAGACTCATATTTTAAAACAATTTTTACATAAATGTCCCTTTACCTGTATTCAGGTCCACTGACACACATCTATGTGGGTAAACTACAATTTAACATTGCGTAGTGGTAGCGGTGTTGGTTGAGATACTATGCTACAAGACGGATGGTCGCAGGTTCGATTCCCAATGAGGCAATTGGATTTTTTAATTGACCGAATCCTTCCGGCCGTACAGTGGCTGTGGGAATGACTCAGACTCTAACAGAAATGAGTATCAGGAATCTTCCTGGGGTAAAGGGCGGCCGGAGCGTAAGGCTGACAACCTCACCGCCATCTGTGAGCCGATTGTGTAGACAATATGGGAGCCTCAACGAATTTGTGAAGCCGGAATAGGCTTGAATTCCCATATCATGAATTGAAGAAGAATTTATTTTTATTGTGTGTAGGATAACTGATAAGATAAAGGCGTACTTATGCTCATAAATACGGAATATGCTATACTAATATTTAGCGTATATAATAAACTGCCTCGAAATCGAATTCAACTTCGATTACAGTTTCAGGCGATACTGATTGTTGTCGTTAGGAATACTTTTGTCGGACGTATAAATCCCGTTTCGAACTTAGTCGAACTGTTTGGGGCGTAGCGTGTTGCATAGTTTCTCCGTTAATTGTAAACAGCAAATTCTAACTAGACCTTACTTAATGTAGCGTAGAAGTGATTTGATTTGTGCGGACATGTGGTGTATCGTTATCGGACTGTGTTTTTAAAATGGAAATTAAATCAAGATTTAAGCGTGTTTAACCCCCTGAATCCTGAAACGAAGAGAGAAAAATAGGAGAGTCACTTTCTTCTTTGGGAGTTAACCAGGGCCTGAGCAGTGCTCGTTTGTCTCGGTGATCGAGGGAAGAATTTGTTAATTCACTTTAGGTACCAGGACATTACCACTTCGCCAATTCGCCCGGTGAATGCATATTGCTTTCGTGTAATGAAAAGAGCATTCCCACCGCGGCGACCCGGGTTTGAACCCGGGTCTGGTGTGGTATTTGTGGTGGACAAAGTGGCGCTGGGGCAGGTTTTCTCCAAGTACTTCGGTTTCCCCTGCCAATCTTCATTCCATCAATTACTCCACAATCACCATCATGTGGGGCTGGTACAACAGGCCAGTAGTGGCCGCAGTACCAAGTGGGCTCAAGTCTCACCCCACTAAGAATAATAAAAATCATGGAAGAGCAAGATTATGGGGTCCTAATATGGTGGCAGCACATATTGACTGTTTTTCTACTTTAGCAGTATTATTCTCCTTATTTTGACTTAAGTAGTATAGAATATAGTGAGCTAAGCTGTTCTACTTTATATTAGAAAAACGAAGAAAATAATTCAGTGATCGATTCTTAGTCCGTTTCGTGTTGGTGTCCTAAGCAACCATATTACATTCCAACTTGGTAAGCCCGTGTCCCTGCCCGGCAATTTCTTCCATCACTGGAGGTTACTAAATATGGGCGCAATACAACATGGGATCCACGGAAACGTTACCCATCAGATTTTCTGTTTTCTTAAATAGTTACCTCCTGAATCTTGTTCATTTGTTTTTCCGTACAGTAAAATTTGTTGTCAAAAATACCTCGAGATATATTATCGATCCTTGTTGTCTGTCTAAAACATCTCTGAGGTTACGTCATACTGGGAAGGCAACTTTACGTAATAAAAATCCCGTATGTTCGACGGGGTCTCCGGAACTGCGGTTAGGTTCCCAACGGGAGTCGAAAGTGGTCTCTACGAACTTTCTAATGATGATGTAATGATCTCCGCCACTAACTGATGATGACACTCCCTCAGAGAGTGTACATATACAGGTTATGTAAGCGCAGAGATTCTTGACCTTAAAATGAACTGTCCAGTGAGATGAGCAGATGGTCATTACTGGAGAGGATGGCCGTGGTGTGTCCCCGATATTATCACGAATAATTTTAGAGAGAGTGCAAGAAACCCCGAATGTCCTCCGTCAAGTTGGGCAGTAAACTGCCCATAATCCGATCCGTGTCCTCTGTGATGATAGCAGGCTGAAGGCGAATTATTTGTTTGATGAATAGGTGAAAGGGACGTGGAGATAGAGCCCCATTCATTATAGACCTCGACACTCTGGAGGTGATATGTCGGTTTCAAGCTCCTGTTGTCTTAATCCCCAAGGTTAATGTCGTGATGGTACCTCAAATTGGGGAATATCCGCGTTCTTACACATTTTCCCCATTCTTGGTCCAGTAACACTCATTCAGCGCTGTAAGCTGTAGCCTGAGCAACAAAATGTAAATTGGTGGGGCGTTCTCAGCTCTGGCGATGAAGGAAGAAAGAACCGTTGACCTTAAAGTGGAAGTGGGATTCTAACATTGTCATAGGGTCGTGGTCTCTCTGAAGTCGGAACCGCTATAAAAATCCATCACAGAGGGTTTTATTTTGCGTATATAAGCCCAAAATTTGAAACCGGGCAGTGGGAGGCGTATCATAAACTCCTGGAAGTCGTGTGCAGACAAGCAGCGGTGGCGGGTGGAACCAGCTCAGTAACTGCTTGCCATGTGGTGCCACACATCGGTGTTCTGCTGTACCACGTTACTGCATTCAGCAATGCAGTAGTTTGTTAGACTATGTCGAAATCATCTTAGATGTCGCGTCATCATCGGATAGTGACGTAGTCACATACGATGGGAACACTATACTAGAGATCTCGCTGAGCGCACAGGACCCTCCTTCCCTGTGCTTGCCTAGTGAAGCTATGACGTAACCTAGAGATGTTTTGAATAGACAGTGTACAGTTTAAATAGGTCATACTATCAAATGATTAATGGTTAAATGTTAATGGTGCTGTTTTTTTCGCGTAGTTATGTCAGCAACGTCCAACCTTGAGCGACACTCAAATCTCCAACAGACGCATAGATAGCTGTCAGTGCTGATGTAACTTAAAACCCACTAACGAAACATTCAACAAATATTTTGATCACTATTAGTGGTCAACTTTAATTAATGATATTGTTTTAACAAATATCTTCGAAGTATGAATATATGGTACGTAAGTAAACAGACCCCTTTACAGTTTCTCTCTGTGTAAAGGAAACACCCGTCATCACAAACGCTTGACCCAGTTTATACCTCATCATCCTCGTATTACCCTATATTGTCCACGTATTACGGAAAAATTATATGGAGTGTTAGCGGACAATCGGCAGTAAGACACATGTGTTCGATTATGAGTTTCATCACACTTTGAAAGTATGCATATTGTCTGCGGGCAGTTTCAGAACGTCGCCTGTAATAGTACGTGTAGTAGAGATGTAATAGAACCAACTCTGTGATTTTAGTCCGCAAGCGAACTATACCGACCGAGCGACCGCCGCTTGTCGGCGAAGTTTAGTTCCAACTTTGCGGATAGATGATGTCGCGTGGTCAGCGCAACGAATCCCCACGGCCGTTAATTTAGGTTTTCTAGACCGGAACCGCTATATCCTTGAAATAGCTCCTCAATTATCATCACGAGGCTGAGTGGACCCCGTTCCAGACTCACTACCTCTCCGAAAAAATGTGTGGCAGCGCCGGGAATCGAACCCGGACCTCTGGATCTGTAGCCAGGAACGCTGACCACTAGACCACAGAGGTGGTCAGTAGAGGTGTAGCTGATGTGAAATTCGATGCAGCAGATTTGGAAGCCTATGAAGTCAGGGAAATCCTTTATTACTGTTGAATTAGTAGCGCATGAGAATTATATTAATGCACGATAGGCTTCTAACATGTGTCTAAAGCATCTTTGAGGCGGAGTCACCACCGTCAGTGACTAAGTCGTTTAGACTGTTACGTCATCATTAGAAAATTGCTAGCTTCTATTTTCAACGTACGCTGGAAGCATGAGTCGCCACACGGGGGATCTCACTGAACACAGAGGGACCTTTCTTCCGTAAGGTTGTTACTCAATGTACGGCGTGCCGTGGAAAGTGTTTTAGACAAGCTTTAGTAAAATGTCCTTTGAAAATTCAACAAGAAAATATGACGGTTGCCATCTCTGGCTAGGATTTACACAGATAACATTGATATACTGTTATACATCATGGCCCTTCAGGGACACTTTGAACATATAGTTTCACTGAATGTGCATGCTATGCAACTTTCTTTCCTTTGAGGGTCGAGACTGCAGTACCGACTGAGCATAGGTACCTCACTCTGCTGTTTATTCCTTCCTTCTTCTGGGTCCTCTCGTAACTACTACGATGGCCCATAACTCTGCTGACTAAATCGAAAATGAGAAGTTGTTTAAGAGTTTACTGACATTCAAAATAGCATCCTTTTGTACCTTCCAGGCGCGTTCAGTGATTCCTTTTACTCTTTCATTAAACTCTGAAATGTTGATTTCTTTTCCCTGTCTCATTTCCTGATGTCTTTGAATCCTCTACTCCAGTGTTCTTGACAGTAAGAACAAAAGATCCAAAAACCAAGCTAAACATTTCTATGTACTGTTAAAGTTGTCATATAATATTATTATTATTTATTGTCTTCTAAACTGGCATAAAATATATTTATAATGGATGAAGATGGAAGTTTTCCATTTTATGCAGATAATTAAAATACGCAGTTACTATTGTTGTCCTACTTCATATATTGAATAATATTCCTAACGGATTTAAAATTACCATTTCTTCTCATGTAATATATTAACTACTTTGTACAATAAATCTATTAGAATTTGTGCAAGAACTGGGCTTATTTGTATCACCGTGATGATCACGATGATTTCTATGTATTATCATTGATGCTACGAGATGAAACTTATGCTTCTAGCGTTAACTGTCAGCTCATTGTTGTATGTGACTGGTGCTGCCACCGCTTGTTCCAGAATATAACTATTATTATTATTGTCAGCGGAAATAGATCGAGCTGTGAGCCCGTGGTATTGTCGTTACACAAACACATGAGTATCGGGAACAGATCTGCATGGAGACAAAAGTTATATTCAGTGCAACATTACACTGCATGTACGTTCTCATAAGCCTAAAAAATGTATAGGGTTCTCTCTAAATCCCCACATTCAGACCGACTAAGGGGCCCGTCCAATTGATGGGCTGTGTTCCTCCGTATACAGGAAAACCACAGTCGGACTCGCAGATTATCAAAACGGAAGGCGTAGAGGGGAGTGGAGGTAGAGCTTTGCGCACTCTTAGCTTGTGTAGCAAATGGAGGCGAATTTCTGTCTTTGTATTCTGACCCAATCGCCCCCTCCCCTCGAATTTCCATCGTGTTACCGGTTCTCCTCTGATGTCACGCGCTGTTCTTCCCGGTGTTTTGCGATCATCAGAACTAAACACGTGACTTTCTTACTATACGTCTAACCAGAGCAACTGACATGGCTGCTTATTTTTCTGCTTTTGGTTTATTTAGCAACGCTATCGCTAGCCCAGGCTGTACAGCGTCGAATATCAGGATGACTGATAATTGTGAAGGACGTGGAGGGAAACGGTCGTGGCATAATTTGAAGTAATGTCCCTGCATTTGGCTGTAGGGGCTGAGGAAAGCAACGAAAATGTCAATCAGAGTAGGTGGTCCCCAGTAGGTATTTGAACCTGGGGTTCTCTGAATATGGTGCCGGAGTACTAATCACTCCTCCGCGACGGAGGAGACGGCGCCCTTACGAGAACCCAGGACTGAATTAAGAAGCCTTTTTAGGTCCTTCATTAACCGAATGTAACGAAACCTCCGTTACGTGAAGAACGTTTGTCACTTGAAGTGGAACGCACATGCCAGACTCTCTCTGGCACAGTACAAACACCATCAGAGGCCCCAGGCGAATAAGCCAAGGAACTGTATTATGAAGTCTGCCCCTTACTTCCGGGAAGGCACTGCTCTGTTCTCGGTCATTTTGATCGCCATCTGCAGCGTTCCTGTTGTCGCTCCGTAGTTCGTGACGGCCATCGCAATTTTGGGGTGTTCTTGGCTCCAGAACCCTCCCGAAATCCTGACCTCTATCCACTGCGAAATTGCTTACAGTGGATCCTCTTGTGTTTAAAATTTCGAATTTTCTACATATATAGTTTGGATTTGTATTGTAGAGTTTTGTTGCTTCCTATAGAACTCAGTTTTCACTATGCTGATATATATATATATATAATTCGCTCGAAAAGTGTTTTAGAATACAGGGCGAGCAATATTTGTTTTATGTTTTTGCTTAAAATGACATAATTCTTGTTAATATAATTGCATTTGTTCACTGTGAACTTCAGTTTCACCATCTATAAATCTAATCTACTACGCATGTATTAAAATACAGAGCGTTTGAAAATTATCTCGGCTTTGTCGTTGAGATGCGTTAAAGAGTTTGGATGTGTGGTTTTTAATTTAATCTGATACTCGAATGTCACCTCTCATGGTTTCTAAATGCAGCCTGTTCGGAACTCCTATACATATTTTGAAATACAGGGCGGTAAAAAGAAATGCAACTTTTAATGTAAAAATCATCGCCTAACTGATTTTGGGGGCTCTTTTGTTGACATGCTTTGACATATGTAGGCCTACCTGTCAGTGAGGCGATGTTTGTTGAATGTAGTTTAAGTGATATTTTCGTCGTGCATCACTGTAAACGCCACGCGGGAACGTAGAGAGCAGTAAATTGGTCCGGAATAAGGTGAGCCTCCACGTTCACCATACTCCATCCCTTATTTTGCTTCAGAATGTACCGAACATATGTCAATTCTTGTGTAAAAAGAACCACAGAGTAAGATAGTGAACATTCTGTTTGGATTTGTTGCAGTAGATATTGAAGGCTCTCTGAATAGTCTGCGTGTGTTACAAGCCCGATAATTTTTGTGTGTGTTCAAAATAGGAACTATCTTTTTGTAACATCCAGTAGGAGAACGTGTAGCGCGTGAGAAATTCGGCAGTGAATTTAGAGCTTTTCAGCTTGTGTTAAATCATCCTGTATCATTGTGTGTCATATAATTGTTCACGAAGTTTCCCATTTACACGACTGAAAAGTCTATACATTGGAAAGTCTGATGGTTCTTTTCAGTCCGTTAAATAAAAATTGCAATCGATTCTACGATGAACTTTTGTCTCCATTTAACGCCGCGGTTCATTGTTCAGGCAGCGGACCAGAGTACAGACTGTACACTCGCAGACAGGCTGCGGCCAGCAGGTCCTTACTCTTACTTAACTATGCAGACTTATGTTAGCGCTACAAATTAGGGATGTCAGGCGGTACAAAATTCGATATTGACATTGTTTTATTCAGTTCTTATTAGTTAGTCAGGCGTGAACAAATGCTCAGGCATGCCCACCTTAAATGAATTGGACTTAAAGTTTTTCCTATACAGGGTGTTTCAGAAAATCGCATAAGTTGAGTGACATTCCCGGAAGGCCACGGAAAGAAGGAACACATTAATTTCACATTGGATCAGAATATAATTAGTATGAAATTTATTACACGACTTTTGATGTGAAGAATTTTAAGACATTTTTTTCTGTTTATTAGCATTACTGACGAAACGTCTGTAATCTAGAACTTAATGAACGTGACGCCAAAAATACGCAAGGGGGTGGTTGCAGTGTCCTGTAGGTCAGCCACAGGGAACCACAAATGAAAGATGTATGTATCTTAACAGGCATGCCCGATAAAAGTTTAAAAATATCGATATATTGAGGTAAACAAAAGTATCGAGTTTCGATACCAGATGACATCAAGACTACAAACTATTATACTTCGACATCAATGGCGTTCTCATTCCAATTAAAATTTAGAAGAATCTTAACATAAATATGAACTGTTATACAATCGTAATGATTGGTTGCTTAAGAGGGCATTTCATTTTGTCCGAGGCATTCACCGTCTGCCTCTGCATGTGGGAACATGATAATGAAATTAAATATTTCAGAGTAAGGGGGCTCCTGTTCAAGAGAAGTAAAATATACAACTGATAGCTGTAGTACTAACCAGATAACTAACTGCATTGGAGTTCATGTGGATGGAAAGTTTTCACGAATAAAGACCGGCATACAATAGGCAGTAGAAGCACCTTCATAACTGAGAGACAATATCCACGTTGTCACCCTCACGATCATATTCAAAGAGTTGTTTTATCAGTAAACTTTTTGTGTAAAACATCATCATCAAACAATGTTGCACATCGTTGTGTCACAATTAGAAAATCACCAGGTTCTATTTTCATGATATGATGGGAGGCAGGATCGTGGCACTGGAGCTGCCACTGAACTTGAGCAGGCAACCTTACTGAAGAAGAATGCTGTGTGCACAGCGAAAGCTCTGGCCTGGAGGTTCTGCCTCCCATCGACTGTTGGAAATATAAACCTAGTGACTTCTGCCGGTGACGCAACCTCATATTTTAGAAGCAGTTTGGTGGCATTTCCCTCTGCGGAATTATATGCAAAATGTATGAGGAAATGTTAATATACAGTTAACCATATGAGACTCTTACATTTTGGGTCCATTTCACTTAGAAATGTCCTAAATTAAAATCGCTCATTTCGTTCGAATTGTTTTTTAACCCTTTTATTTATGGCTCTAGATGTACGATGTATGTTAACTGGTTCAGTTGTTCGTTCGCTTAATTGAGCACAACATGAAGGCGTGTAAATGAGTGGAGGTGTAAAAACTTAACTGAAAGTTGCGTGGGACGTAGGCTATCACCAGTTTCTGCCCATTGTATACCAGACTTAGGCCCTTACCTAGCCGTTACAGTAGGCTCTCACAAGTTTCGTTGTAACCCCACAACATACCCTCCATTCACTTGGATTGTCACAATATTGTATCCAAGGCACCAAGTTGATTGAGTTTACACCGGGATGAAAGTTGCACGTTCCATCATGATAGTTCTGTGGCTTCGGCACTACGCATGCGTATATTTCGGATGCATCTCGTCCAGGTCACGTCCCTTCGTCTCAGGGACGAAACATACCACGAAGCACAGCCCCCCGACAGAAATGGCCGCGTACAACCAGTACGCCCCGTGCAATCCAAGCAGTTGCTGAAAGTCTACAAAGGTCTTGACGCCAACGAACGCGCACACGTAACTGAAGGAGGTGGCCAAGGCGCTGCCCAGGCCGCGGTATTCTAGCGGAAACAACTCGCCGATAAGCAGCCACGAGATGGGGCTGATGCCTAAGGAAAACGCCACGGTGAAGATGAGGACGCAGAGTAGTGGGATCCAGTCGTGCTGCGCCGCGATCAGGCAACCGTTCCGGTTTTCCTTGTGCACGTCTTCGTAATACGCGAACGATCCGAACCCTGCCAGAGCCATAGACATGAACATGCTGCTCGCGATCAAGAGCGGTAAGCGGCCGACGATATCTATGAGAAGTCCGGAGACGCAGGAGGCCAACAACTGCACAAAGCCTACAGCTACAGCTCCGCCGTGCGGATTCATGCAGCCGGTCTGTCGAAAGATTGACACCGCGTAAAAATTAAAGGCCGTGGCTCCAGAGAACCGCTGGAAGAACATTAATCCGCAGGTGGTGAGTACAGGCCTCAGCAGGCGTGACGTGATGGCTTTGAAGGTACTACGACACCCATCGTGGTACTGTCTGCTCGTGATGATGTTGGTGCGAATTGTGGCGATCTCTTGTCCGACGTCGATCTCGGGACCCCGGAGCCACTGTAGAGACCGTGCTGCCTCCTCGTCTCGACCCACGAGCACCAGGTAGCTCGGTGTCTCCGGGATGTACAGTACTGTGGCGAACAGCATTATGGGAGCGATTGCCACCACCATGGCCAACTGTCGCCAGTCGAGGTATGCCCCCACAGCGAAGCTGATCAGCATGCCAATCTGCCCAACTATCTTGAGTACCGCGCTCAGGCACCCCCGGATGTCTGGCACCGAGATTTCGCTGATGTACACCTGTTGACAGATACACTTTGTCATATGGAGTACAGTCCTACAAGAACTATAACTACTATACCAGCTGTCAAATTTCCTGAATTTTATGGAACCCGAAGGTTCATCATTGTTCACAAGAGTTCTAAACTGGTCCCTATCCTGAGCTCGCACCCTCCCATCCTATTTCTGTAAAATTCATTTGAATATTATCCTCTCATCTACTTCTAGGCTTTCCAACTTCCACATTACCTCTTATTTTCTTCCTCTGTCATATGTGCTACATGTTCTGCCCATCTAATACTCCTTGACTTGTCCTAATAACACTTAGCGGGAGCACAAATTATGAAGCTCGTCATGCAGTTTTTTCCGGCTTCGTGTTACTTGTTCCCTCTTGTATCGAAATATTCTCTCCCGCTCCTTGTTAGGATCGACTGACCCATGAAGCTGATGAACTAACGTAGGAACCATGATTGGTTAGTTACAAGGTGGATGTGTTTTAGATGAAAACGGAGGGAAGGAGATAAAAGTATGAAAGGGATAAAGAAATGAAGAGAGAGGGCGAAGGATGAACATACAAAAGAAATCATGCCCTCCCCTTTTAATTTTAGCCGGCTTCCCCACCACTTAATTACTGATTTGTCAATGCTAACCCTTGGAGGGGCTGGGGGTACACGCAGAAACTCGCCGCTTTGCAATCAGCAACCCTCTTCTCATTTCTGCTTGACATTTCAGAACCCCTGTGACACACCGATCCACATTAGTGACGTACGAACGGATGTCATCATTCCTGCTTTTTTTTTTCCTTTAATTCCCCACCCCCACCCCACCCCCAGTGCTCATCTACAGGAAGACCAGCAAATGAGGTATCGCATTTAGAAACACAGTGAACCTTACGCATGCAATTTTTATTGGACAGTGTCTTTTTTATGGGTTACGTCACTATCGAGACTACATAGCGTCGGATGGTAGGATGAGTGATGAAATGGAAAGGATTTGGAAGGAACCAGTTTTGATCAGATAGAGCTACTATCTTGGCACTTGCCTACGGGAACTTAGGAAGACTACGAAAACCACAGTCAGGATGTCAGGTATCGTGCCGGGATTCAAACCGAATATCTCCCCAGTACTAGTCTAGAAAAACATGTTCATTTCTAATATTGTTTAGGTGACGTGTATCCGCAAGAATGAAATCAGAGCGCTGTGTAGCACGAATACAAAATTTTGGTTAAGAAATCAAGAAAAGATACGAGTATCTCTTTTTTTTTAATTATTGCTAGTGGGATGGGACTAAGTCCCTTGTACTGCGGCCACTTCTGGCCTATTGTACCAGCCGCAGATGATAGGTGAGGTTGATTGTGGAGCAGTTGGTGGAATGAAGATTGGCAGGGGAAACCGAAGTACTCGGAGAAAACCTGCCCCAGCGCCACTTTGTCCACCACAAATCCCACTTGACCAGACCCGGGATCGAACCCGGGCCGTAGAGGATATTATTAAAATGCCATGCTTTGTGATGAGTTACCTGTGTGACAACGAGGACGATAGCGCAGCAAAAGCCGCCCACGAATGCCGTAGCGAACATCATCTCAACACTGCTGGCGAACACTGTCAGGAGCCAGGAGGCAGAGAAGGGAAGTGAAGTTATGAGCAGCACCCTCTTGCGACCGAAGCGCATGGCCAGGCCTCCCAGCATGCCGCCGAAGAAGGCGCCAAGGAGGGACAGGCTGGCGACCCAAGAAGCCTGCTGCTCGCTGACTGTGAAGATCCCGCTCGAGGAGTTGGACATGGCGGCCGGAAACCGCTGCTGCTGTTCCTTTAGTGAGTCCACTGCCGGTGAGCTGTAGCCCTTACCGAGCCCGGCGGCGAAGGGACCCAGCGACACGGCAAGCGCCGCCAGGATCTGCGGGCCAAGAAATACTGAGCTTCTGCAGGAAATTACTGGGGCCTCTAGAACTGGAAACTGAACTTGTCCAAGAAATTATTGGGGTCTCTAGGACTACAAACAGTGAGCTCGAAGATTTTCTCGGGTTCCTACGACAGGAAACCAGGAGTCTATACAAAAATTTTCTCATTTGGATGTACAGAATGGGAATCTGGGTTTCTCTGTAAGGCAGGGAACCAAGGACATGTATGTTAAGTTTCCCACTCGGACCTCCAGAACGTGAAATTAGAAGCATTTTTCTTTGTGGCCTCTGTTTTTCTTTTGCTTTTCCATTCCTTTCTTTATACATTGATTTATCCTCCCCCCTTAGTCCTTTCTTCCTCACTCTATATAGTTTTCTTTTTCTTCCTCTATGTTTCTCTGTTTCCTTCCAATTTAGCAAGATGTTCTGATGTTAATGGCAGAGAATGGGCTACAAGCCTTTTCTTCAGGATGTAACATTCACTTGAGATATTCCAGAAAATGTTTTTATGCTTCCCAGTTATGAATGTCTTGCGTTGGCAGTCACTAAGTGAGAAGCGCTGAATAACCTCTGACTCCTGTATTTACATTGCCTACAGTCCATGCGTGTAATTGCCTCTGAAGTGTTTTCACGTAGCGCCACGCACCACATCCTGCACCAAGCGATCTTCCGCACCGCACAGACGTTCTGCGTCATATGCACTTGCATTACCTGACTTCAGGGTACTGAAGGGAGTGTGCCCTCTGCCAATCCCCTCCATATTGTTTCGCTACTAACCGTGGTGAACAGATACACTGCACACCACATTTGCTTTCGTTATTATTATTAATGGTGAAGTAGAATTTAATTACTGTCCATTCACAGCAGCAGTAACAACTGAATTATTCCACCCGAATGTGTTCCGTTAATGTTATGATCCTTCAGAAATATTACCACTATGAGTCATTTTGAAATTCACTCCACACAACAACCCTCACGACACATTTTATACTCTATGATTGATTGAACGTCGTTAAATAATCTGTGACTCAGTCCCCAGTTCAGCGCACATAATAATTCGATACAACATCTGCTGGAATGTCGTGAAATGAGACGACAGCGAGCCTGAAAGTCGTATGCAGAGTTGCTAGCGCCCCCCCCCCTCCAGCCATGAATATGTACCAGTCTCTGCCACTGGGCATAGTGACGTCAAGATGGGATGCCTCAGCACCGAGCAACTCAAGATATTACCTAGAGTGTCCTCTGTTACCTCGAATTCTGTTGTTGTGGCAGGTTCTGTGCATCTGAAAATCGACGGCGGCGTCTCCCCACTCTTATACGGAGGTCAGTGTAGACTTGTATTCCGGAGATGCTGGGTTCGAATCTCATCCGGGACACCGGCTATTCTGACTGAGGGCTTCATTGATTTTCATCAGTCCCTCCAGGGAAATACTGACATAGTACCTCGATTAGGCCGCAGCTGCTTCCTTTCAGATCCTTGCCAATCCATCTGTCAACCTACGACACGACGCTGTGTGGTATCGATACTAAAAATCATCGTTAAATATCCTCCCAAATAAATTAAGATTACGGTACTTAAGACAATGAAGAAGGAAACACCAGATTCTCCAAAAAAATCTAAACGGCGTCACAGCCCAGACGTAACTTTAAATGAGTATAAAATAGCCCAGACGTAACTTTAAATGAGTATAAAATTTTCACTGGAAAATCCGAATGCAAAAGGCCTCTTGAAAGATATACGAGAAAATAGAAGTATGGTATTAAAACGGATTCTATAAGACAAGCAGGGTTGATGTGCTCTGGTTCGTCTGGCTTGGATAAGGCCCAGTGGCAGGCTCTTCTGAACACTGTAATGAACCTTGGGGTTAGAAAAGGGACTGTAAATTTCTTGAGTAGATAAGCAACTTCTGAGGAAGCATTGTGATAGTGGAGTTCGATGGACATTACTATTTTTTTTATTGCTAGTGGGGTTGGACTAAGTCCATTGTACTGCGGCCACTTCTGGCCTATTGTACCAGCCCCAGATGATAGGTGAGGGTGATTGTGGAGCAATTGGTGGAATGAAGATTGGCAAGGGAAACCGAAGTACTCGGAGAAAACCTGCCCCAGCGCCACTTTTTCCACCACAAATCCCACTTGACCAGACACGGGATCGAACCCGGGCCGCCGCGGTGGGAAGCCAGAGACTAACCGCTTGAACAATTGCGCGGCCTTAAGTAAGATGTTTCTGTGACTCTGAAGCACCCTGTTTCCGTATAAACAACCTCGGCACAAAAGCAGTTTTTATTGCTTAAGTCGTCGAGAAGTTATGTTAGAATTTGGTCACATCTCTTCCAAACTTTCGCCAGAACGTGATTTGTTTCCTGGGTGGCGCTCCGCTCTCTCGTTTCCTGTGACAGAAAACACCGAGGTCTCGTAAACTGCACGTTGCTAGGAGCTGGAGAAGTTCCCTTTCTCTTGCTGCATTTGGGGACGCGTACCGAGGTGAAGGGATCGGGCTCCCGTGTGGATACACGTCTTGAGAGCTGAACTGCACAGCAGTAAACCCTCGCTAATCCGGGTGTCGGATAATCCGGATCGAAATATGAAAAAGGCTGTTCACAGCTGGGCACATGGCATTTAGGAAGGCAGATGAGTCACTTGTCTGTTGAGACAAAACTTTACAGTTGCTTCGAACATGCATTAACACTTTCAAAAACAACTACAACTTTTGAGTCTTCAATCGATGAATAAATTTACTGTGTTTTTAGTTTTTAAATAAAGACCATACAGCGATATTTTTATTTATTTTCATCAACACTACTCATATCATTACATTTTCCATTTATTTGTGTTCTAAGTTTGTTCTTTTTTTGTCTTTTGGGGCTACTTTTTGCTGCATTATTCCGGAAATGTTCGGTTTCTCCCTCCCCCAATTAATCCGGATTATCGAGGGTTTACTCTAATTCGTGGGAACGCCCGGTAAGAATAAGTGGAAACATTGCTAGGTTTCATTGCTGGCCAGCGTTTTGCAGTCCAGTTGATAAAAGTTGTCCTTCTGCGACACACCATGAAGACATATAGAGGAGTGCAGGTAAAGCTCCACACATTCTCAACCTAGGCATTTGATGCCCTTTATTGTGTTGTCTGTTTCACGACGCTGTCAGTAGCTAGACTTAATGGCTTCGAATGACTTTATGATGATGTGAAAGCAAGCCGTCGTGACCTGTACCGGAGGTATTGAAAGATTTGGACATCCGGTGTCCCGACCGAGATTCAAACCGGGACACAATAAATATGAGTTTAGGGCGTTGGTGCAAGGTCAACACCCTTGGTGCTGCCGCATTTCCCTCCAGGATGGAGAAGATATATTTAATATCTTGCACCTGTCAGAAATCGAATCCCGATTCCCCGGTCATCCAGCCTATCGCATAGTCGCTATATCGACGGAGCTGTCACGGCTGTATTGCTTAGTTTTTTCTTATTTCTTGAGGTGGGGTGAGACTGAGTCCACTTGGTACGGCGGCCATTGTACCAGCCGCAGATGATAGATGAGTATGGAACATCGGTGGAATGAGGATTGGCAGGGAAGACCGAAGTACTCGGAGAAAACCTGCCCAAATGCCACTTTGTCCACCACAAATCCTACATGGCCAGACCTGGGCTTGAACTCGAGCCGCCGCGGTGGGAAGCCGGCGACTAACCGCCTGAGCTATGGCACGGCCTCTGTTACCCAGTTACTGAACATTAAAGTCGTGGCCCATTTGTGTCCGGTTAAAACTCAGTGTCCAAACACATCAACAAACAACCCGCCGTATAGTGCGATATGACATACGTGGGTGTGTACCAATGTTTCGGAGGAAACGGGAGAACTGCTCTGAACATGGAGGCAGCAGGTGTCTCCGAAACGTTAATACATATCCATAATACCACACGGCGTCACATCCAAAAAAACCGAAAACATCTTTGAGGGTCCAGCATGATGGCACGGTGACGTAGATTATAACGTCACCATTCGAAGGCTACTAACTCCTGCTTTAAATTTAAAGTGGAACCCCAAACCGCCATGACGTAGGTCTTGAACACACAGGACTTCCCTTCCGTAAGGTTGCCTGCTGGTGGCATGCAGCTGCGCGGTAAACACACCTCTACTGTTGGAAGCGGTGTTTTCTGCTCGCTCCGTGCAAAAGGATTAGGATTAAGAGAATTTGGGCTTCCCAGTTAGTTGAGTTCTGCACTGGGAGCTGTGAAGGTAGAATCTGTGCACGTGATGCTGTAGAAACTCTACTGTTAGAAGTCGTTGCCAGGGAACGGCTGATGAAGACAGCATGCTGGAAAAAGGATTAGAGGGTGCTGTGGTGATCTGTGAATTGTGCAGATCACCAAAAGAGCTGTAATTACCCGTAGTTCCGAATCGTGTGTATAAGTGTTCAATAAATCCATGCACCAATCCATACCCCTTCTATAGTCACACCCCTAAATCTTGGCAGCATCTAAAATACTGCCATACGTGTTTATGACGTTAGTTTACGAATCAGTAGGAATATATATTTTTATGTAATGTAAATAACATTCAGAGATAACAACTCGCACAGTAACGAAACTTTCTGTATTAAAGACTGGCCGGTTGATGCTGTATTGTGAGAGACATCTGAAAGCGATAAGTACACTCTGTGGGCAAAATGCAGGATTCTTAAAAGTTAAATCAAGCATTTGCCTTATGTTGATGTGTCTGTTTGTATATTCACGGAGTCTCCTCTGTCATTTCTACGCAGCAGGAATTTTTATCAACTGAATGTCAGAGAGAGAAAACGGAAATTGAAAACTCTCATTACTAAAAGTTTGAGGAACTATTTTTTTCTGTGGAGGAATAAAATGCTTTCAGTGCTATCCTGTATTCATGTCTGCTATCTAATAATATAAAGATTAAAATATTCAGTCTGTATTTTTGTATGGGTGTGAAACTTAAACTCTCATGTTAAGGATGTAACATGTCCGGAGTGCGGAGCCCAAATAG